GCATGGGACGGATTAAAACCGTTATTGCACGACATAGGCCTATTCTTATAGGCTACACAGACAAAACAGTTTCTATTTTACACATTAGTAGTAAAACAAGACTTCGCAAGTTCTCTTGTAAAATAAAATAATAATAATAATAAAAAAACATGGAATAAACTATGTACAGAAAGCGAGTAAAGAACTCTCAACATTGGAGTGGCGGTAAGTACTTTTTCACGTCAAAGACTGTTTTTATAAATATGAACGTTGACGTGGATTTTAGCGTACGCACACTCTAAGATCAAATCTGTGCGTACGCACATTTTATAAATGAGGCCCCTGGAATGTGTTTTAGGAAAGTGAATTTTGATTTCACATTGACTTTCACACGTCTCTAGAGCAGCGTGTCTGATTTTCAGAACATTCTGACTTCAGTACCTAATTTCCTGAATGACTCTCAGTGTAATAAAAACCACCACATCTCTGTCATCACACCCCACCTCAAGACTGAAACACCCCAAACACCCGCCGCCATCTGCGTCAGCTCAACTCACACACCAGCACATTTACCTTCTACACACTCATTTACAGTCTGTGTGTGTGTGTGTGTGTGTCCGTTTCCTGGACAGCCTGGTTTGGTTCTGTTTAAACTGCATCCTCTGATCTCTCCCGGGGGTCAGTCAACATCAGCCACAGTTTAACACCATGATTTTACCATCTTTCGTGTGGCTCACTTATTTCTTTAATAAAAGGCTTTAACAGATATATATATATATATATATGGGAATTTTAATTGCAAACAAATCATAATAATCAGAAAAACATTTTCCAAAATGGTCCTATTTTTTTTTTATTATTCAAAATTACATTTTACAACCATAATCAAGCAATCACTACATTTCATAATCATAATTAAGCAATCCATCAAGTAAATTAAATTTTACTGTATTATATTTATTATATAACATTTAATTTGATATATTTAGAGTGTAAAATTTTAAATATATGTAATTTTAAATACATCTATAATTTTAAACATATACATTTAATATTTTAATATTCTAATATTTTATTTTATATGTACTATTCAAATATTAATGCAGCACATTATTACAAATCATCCAACAATAAGCAAAGGAATTATTTACAATGAATACTGATATTTATTGATCACTGGTGTCTTACATCATACTGCCATTGCTGCCCTTTTATAAAAGCAACCAGATCACAGATCACATCATGACTAACAACAACCTTTAACCGCAGTAAAATCACTTCCTCTCGTGACTTTCAGATTAATTCTGACCAGCTGAAATGTACACTTTTAGACATAAACGCGCTTTCAAAGTTGGTTTCTGAACTCAGATGAACTCTAGCGTATGGTTCACAATTGCTATAATAGCAGTCTGTCCAACACACTACTGCTACTGTACTACAAATAACAGTAAAACAGGCATCTCCTCTTCCTGAGCCGTTTCATATCTTCAGAGGTAAAGAGCTGACGCTAGTCCAGCTCAGATCAAGCACTCAAACATGTGCGAAAACATCCATGAAGAGCGTTTGTGAATGATGCATGTCAGTGTTAACGTCACAGACGCTGAGCTGCATTGTTCCAGATCACAGATTCATGTGTGAACACGTCTCTTCCAGCAACTGATACGAACCTGATAAGACATTCCTGAGAGAAGCAGAAATCACACACACACACACACGTCCACATGTAAACAAAACGCTCTGCAATCATATCGCCTAAGGAATTTAACAACTGACTTCCTTGCAGTTCATAAGCTGGGATTTGAATGGGAATGAAATGAAGAATGCTGAGGATATGTCATCCTCCCTCAGGCATGTGAGACAGGCACTTCCTGTTTCCTGTAGGATGAGATGCTAGTGTCTTGCTCATGTTTCGAGGGGCCCGGCGGGGGACCCACTTCCTGCGATCCGGAGGAAGGATGGGAGGATAGACGGATTGGAACGGAGCTGACAGATATTTCTTGGAGAAGAGGTCTGCGAATCTCTGAGCGAATCAGTTTCTGTCTGAGCGTAAAGCTGAATCAGCTGTGATTCACCGCATATTTGATTAATGTTTGGGAATTAGGGCTGATGGGAAAATCCCACTAGTGTGTTTTACTGTGTGCCAGCTGACTGAGCAATTTATGACATTTCACAACACAGATTTGCATAAAAATACGCAGCTGACTGAAACCAAAGTAAAAAAAATGAGTAATGCTTATATCTAAAGTGATTTACAGTACCCTTCATAAAGAGACACCTGGAATAACACAGGATTTAATGAGGAGCTCAGCCAAAAATTAGACATCATTTACCCTCATCTCATTCCAAAACACAAAAGGACATTATTTGGCAAAACTTCACTCTGCTCTTTTCCATAAAACTAAAAACATGCAGTGACCAGGGGCATTCAAACAGCGCAAAACTGACAAAAAGCTCCATAAACCTTCACTGGAAAATAATGATTTTTGACAAGTTTTCACAAGCTGTAAAAAACAATTTTCGAAGTTGTTAATAAAACACTATAAGATTATTGAAGTACATTTCTGTACTCTTTCTGTAGTATTTCTACTTAAACATTCCATGTTTAATTAAATAAAAGGTTACTTAATATTATATTATCTGCAAGTACAGTTTTTAAAAAAATATACTTTTAAGATTTAAAGTACACTACAAGTGCACATTCCATAAAATACAATTAAGCACACTTGTTTTTAACAAGGAAAAGTACATGTTTTCTTCCATCTGTGACTGTTATCACAAACTGAATGTTCAGTGATGGAGTCTCAGGCAGAAATCAGCTGTATGTAACTCCTAAATAACCCAGTCTGATTGAATAACCTGGGTCAAGTATAGTTTTGCATTGTGGTAAGAGTTCATGTATTGCTCCACTATCAAACACACCACGTCTCAGATAGCTGAACTCCAAAACCTGACATTCTTCACATGATTTTACCAACTTAAACACACACACACACACACACACAGAGAGAGAGAGAGAGAGGATATGTTGAAAGTTGGACACTTACGAGGGATGTTTAGATTTTCGACTTGACCTCTGTTTCACAGTTCTGGGTTTCCCACCATTTACTACTTACTGAATACTGCCAGATGCTAAAATTGCTGCTTTAGAGGTTTTTAGATGCAGTTCTCTCTAGTTTTGGAGTCTGTTGCTTCTCATTCTCAGAATGTTCTGGCTAGTTTCCCTCAAAGTTATGATCAACGTTACAGTAACATTAATAAAATGTTTGTTCAGAGTTATCTGGTCTTTAATAATGTTCTCAAAATGTTAAGCTGGAATTTCAGAGCATTCTACTTGTTTCAGAATATTCAAAAGTGAAACTGAATTAAACTGAATGTTCCGTTAATATTCCCATAACCAGGAAAAAAGTGTTTTGAATTTTTTTTTGAAATTGTTTACAAAAATTGAAGTTTTAAATATTCAGGAAACATTCAGAAAACATTCATTTTCATAACTTAATGGGAACTTTAGCAAAATGTTCCTATATCTGGGACTGTAGTGTTTTGCTACATCCTGAGTGTATGTATGTGTGTGTGTGTGCGTGTGTTTAAGAGGACATGCTGCCCTGTTAAATCCCAGGATGTCTTTCTACTTCCTGCTTTGAAACTTTTTCAGCCATAAAGACAAATAGCACCAGATGTGTCTAGCCGGACACTGCATAATCTGTGTGTGTGTGTGTGTGTGTGTGTAATCCAGTCATGTAAATCCTGTGATTACGCTCCTGATTTATAAATCATGTCGGCTCTTATTTTGGTTCATATGCGTGAATGTCTTATGAAATGAAATCATAATCAGGTTATTACACACACACAAGACTCCAAGACAGTTTACAGTCAATATACACCCAAGTATTTGTAAGAATGAACCTGGGTAATACAACTGTTATGGACCAGTAATGGAGAATGGTCCCCCAGATGCCTTGGATCAAAAATAATTTCTTCAGTTTTCTTAGTGTTTACAATAAGATGATGGTTCTCACACCATTGTACAAACCTTTTAACCTCCAAAGTATAACTAGAAATGTCCATATCCATAAGTCCTAAGATGGCAGTGTCATTAGAAAAGTGCTGGGATAACTACTTGTACAATCATTTGTGTATAATGTAAACAAAATGGGAGAACTCACACATCCTTGCGGAACACCTGTGTTCACAACTTTAGACTCAGATAATGCCTGATTCACTCTGACCTGCTGGGTCTTATTGGTCAGAAAAGAGTGATACCACTTAATGATGTATGGATTCACAGACATCTGCCTAAGTTTACTGAGAAGGATGTGTGGCTGCAGAGTGTTAAAGGCAGAGCTGAAGTCCACAAACAGCAGTCTAGCATAGGCCTGGGGGTTTTCAAGATGTTGCAAAATAAAGTGTGTTATGGTTAATAAAGCATCGTCCGTTCCCCGATTGTCTTTATAGGCAAACTGATACGGATCTAGCTGTCCCTTTATGTTTGACTTCAACTTCCCCACCATTAGCTTTTCCAGACATTTCATTAGAAGTCAGGGCTACTGGTCTATAATCATTATTTTCCTGAGGAGCAGATTTTTTTTGGAAGAGGAGTAATTATTGCCTTTTTCCAGAGAGATGGAACAGTATATGAATCAACAGACCTTTGAAAGACAGGGACCCAGGCTGATGTGAGTTCCTCTGCGCATGTCTTCAAAAGGAAAGCTGATACCACATCAGGGCCAGTTGCCTTATTAATGTTTGTTATTTTAAAAAGTCTTGTGACTTCCCTGGGACTAATGTCTATCCTTGGAACACAGCACGCACACGCACACGCACACACACACACACACTCTCTCTCACACACACACACACACACACACACAAACAGCTTGTGTTGACTGATTTAATACTGTACAGTACAAACTCTTTGGTTTCAAGTCAACATAAAAATTCACCCCAAAATAAAAATTCACTCACCACAAAGTTGTTCCAAACCAAACATTCATGACTTTCTATCTTCTGGATTTCAATTAATTGTGCTGGATGCTCTTTACAGTTGCAAAGAACAGAGACTGAGACTTTCAAGCTCCTACAAGGAAACAAAAACCATATGTGTCATAAAAGCGTTCAAAAGACTTGGACATTTATTTTAAGAATTCTGAAATCACATATTAAATGTCATTGTTCATTTGCTCAAAAAAATTTACTCATGAACCAAAACAACCAGCTCTGAGACGATGTTAGACACAGCAATAAATACACTTCAAAAGAAAGCAAGAATATCTTTTTTAACACTTTTTTTAATATATAAACTAATATCTTAGGTAATTTTGCTTCTTCATTGAGTAATGTGGGAAATGCAATCCCATGAGGCATTGCAAACAAAATATAAACAATGATACAACAATTATGTTGTCATTGATTATAAGTATAAAAACAATGCATTTTGCAATGCACAAAGTTTGTTAATTACAAAACAATAAATATATTTACAAATATATGTGTATAAGTATGGTCTATCTTTTAAGATTATGGATAGTGGCATTCTGTAACTGATGAACCGTGAATTCAGCAACATATTTAAAACATTATAAACATAAAATAAAAATAAAAAATGAATAAATTAAAATAAAAAGTTGATATTGTGACATCACTTAACAGTCAGATCTGAAAGGTTTATATACACTGAAAATATAAACTATTTTCAATTGCTAGTAAACGGCAAGTAACACAAAGAAGATTAAATTTTGAAGAAGAAAGACTGAATTAGTCATTTATGGTAAAACATGATGAATAATCTAACAATCTTTTTACATTTCGCTGTAGAGATAATGGGATTTTTTTTTTCATTTATAATTTTTAGTCAAATTAACCATTTAGCAAAGAGTCTACATTTAAGTCATTTTTACTCAACATTAACTAAATAAAGGCATGAATGAGTAGCAAATGTAGGATCTCAGACGTGGTGAAGAGCAGAGCGCGTGGAGCACTGAATGAGGAAAACAGGAGTGTGGAAGGGTTTCTGTCATTGGGGGGGTGTGGGGGGGGGGGGGGGGGGGATGGCACGCCATCGAACACGCTAACAGAAACGCAGCGCTATGGCAACCTGACAGCAGCAGACGATCAGTGAAAACGTGAAACTGGAACAGAATGAGAATGAGCTGAAGGAGTCTGGGAAAGAGCAAGCGCTTCTGTCTCATCAAGATGTTTTCTGACACAGATTAGACATGTGTGTGAGCTTCTAAATAAATACTCTCTCTAAAACAACAGTTCAGAAACCCAATAACCCAATAATAATCTATCTATCTATCTATCTATCTATCTATCAGCATTGTGGGGGTCTATGAACAGTTCTTGACCAAATTAAGCTGCAAAGTGATTGAAAATATTTTGGTGAGAGTCTGTGGTCTGGCTGTGCAAGACTACATATGGTTTAACATGCAGATCGCTATGAAATGAGCAACCTGACAGCAGCAGACGATCAGTGAAAACGTGAAACTGGAACAGAATGAGAATGAGCTGAAGGAGTCTGGGAAAGAGCAAGCGCTTCTGTCTCATCAAGATGTTTTCTGACACAGATTAGACATGTGTGTGAGCTTCTAAATAAATACTCTCTCTAAAACAACAGTTCAGAAACCCAATAACCCAATAATAATCTATCTATCTATCTATCTATCTATCTATCTATCAGCATTGTGGGGGTCTATGAACAGTTCTTGACCAAATTAAGCTGCAAAGTGATTGAAAATATTTTGGTGAGAGTCTGTGGTCTGGCTGTGCAAGACTACATATGGTTTAACATGCAGAGCGATCGCAATGAAATGAGAAGAAGCACAAGGCCTGACACACAGAGAGAGATAGAGAGATGATTGTGTTGTTATGGCTGTGGGGGGTGTGACTGTAAAGCAGTTGTGCTTTCGGCTATCAGTCTGCAAGAACACATACAAACACACACTTTCAGTTTTGCTGTTGGCAGAAATGTTGAAAAACATCAGACATGATTTACATGAGCAACGGCGTACAAAAGACTGCAGTGAAGACCTAACCTAACAGTCTACTAATACTTTAACAAGATAATTGACATGTAGTTGCAAATTAATGAGTCAGTTTACAGGTAGTTGCAAAGTTATTTATAGTTAGTAGAATGTCTAATGTGGATTATCAAAATAAAGTTATTTAAATGTAAGTAAATAAGTCATACTCTTTGGACCCCAAATCATGCTGGAGAACGTGATCATCAGGTTTTCGTTCATGCAGCTGTCATCAAAACAAGAGATAATATAAATACCAAAATATTCTGAAATTCAGTGAAAACATTATTATTATTTTTTTTTTTTCTGGTCAAGTTGTGCTGAAGATATTGTGGTAGACGTCTCGCATTTTTGAAGCCCTTTGCATATTACTTACAGGAATAGTTCACCCAATAAACTTAACTGAAAATATACTCTCAGGCCATCCAAGATGTAGATGAGTTTGTTTCTTCATCAGATTTGAAGAAATGCATTGCATCAACTTGCTCACCAATAGATCCTTTGTAGTGAATGGGTGCCGTCAGAACGAGAGTCCAAACAGCTGATAAAAACATCACAATAATCCACAAGTAATCCACATGACTCCAGTTAATCAATTAATGTCTTGTGAAGCAAAAGGCTGCATGTTTGTAAAAAAAACTAATCCATCATTAAGATGTTTTAACTTTAAACCTTCGCTTCTGGCCAAAATACATAGTCCATAATTCATAATAATTGAAAAGTTCCATCCATCTTCTCGCATATAAAAATCCACTGACATATTTGTTTTGGACTGTTTCGGCTTGTAAACGCTGGTTGATCTGTGCATATTTCTCTCCTAATTCTGACGATTTTTTTCACTGGGGAAAGTAATATTATGGACTATGGACTCATAAGCAATCAATTGAAGATAAAAAATGGCACTTTAAGATGGATTTGTTTATTATAAACATGCAGCTTTTTACTTCACAAGATGTTAACTGGTGGACTGGAGTGGTGTGGATTACTTGTGGATTATTGTGATGTTTTTATCAGCTGTTTGGACTCTCATTCTGACGGCACCCATTCACTGCAGAGGATCCACTGGTGAGCAAGTGATGGAATGCTACATTTCTCCAAATCTGTTGTGATGAAGAAACAAACTCATCTAAATCTCGATGGCCTGAGGGTGAATAGATTTTCAGCAAATGTTCATTTTTGGGTGAACTATTCCTTTAAAGAATATGAGTGTGTGAGAAAGAGCAGATGATTAGACTGCAGCTGGCACACTGACCCACTAACACTGCAGCTCACACACACACATGCACACACACACACACACACACAACTACACTACAGCTGTCTCTACCTCTCTTACACACACACACACACACACACACTCAATTTCTCTCTCTAAATGCTCTTCCCCTCCCCCTCCATCCATCTATTCTAATTCAAACTCTATTCTAAAGAACATCCACACACATCCGCTTCTCTAGTCATGAATGAGAGGGAAGAATCTGTCTGCATTTGCACTGTATAAAATTAAAGAATTTAAAAAATACATTTAGTTACATAACTAGTTCAGCCCAAAATGAAAAATGTGTCACTGGAACACACACACACACACACACACACACACACACACCCTACAACAAAAAAAGTATATAAAAGGACTGCCTTTGACTATATTCTAAGTCTATTGAAGTCAATATAGATGAATGTAAAGAACAGACCAAAAATGAAGTTCACTTTTACTGAACATCTCCCATTTGTTGTAAAGTCTTGTTCAAACGTTTGCTCCATAGTATTTAGTCAGTGGTTTCCAGCAACTGTTTGGTTTCCCACATTCTTCAAAATGTCTTCTTTTGTGTTCAACAGAAGAAGAAAAAAACTCCTATAGGTTTGGAATAACTTGAGGGTGAGCAGATGAGGACAGAATTTTCATTTTTGAGTGAACTATCACTTTAACACACAGTAGTATGAATTACTTCTATGGGCTTTTTAAGGCTATACACCTTCACTTTCAAGAAAAAGTCCAGTTTAAGCTTGAACACCTTCAGCATTTAGAGTCACAAGGGTTAATAAATGTTGACACAGCATTACTTTTAGGGTGAACTATTGCTCTAATTAATTTTGAATGATTATATTGATCATCTATTGGGCATATGCAAACTTTCCCATTTTTTACAAATAGTTTAGGAATACAGTACACTACCGTTCAAATGGTTGAGGTCAGTAGGGTTTTTATTTATGTATCATTTTATTTCTTTATTTTTTATTTATTTTAGGAAATTAATTAATTTATTCAACTGATCAAAAGACAATAAAGACATGTATAACGTTACAAAACATTTATATACTGCAAATAAATTCCATGCTTTTGAACTTTCTGTTCATCAAAGAATCCTGGAAAACATTTATCACAATTTTCACAGAAATATCGAGTGTTTCTTAAGCATTACAACTGTTTTTAATAATATATAATATAGAAAACAGTTATTTTAAACCATAATAATATTTAACAATTTTGCCATTTTTACTGTATTTTTGATCAAATAAATGCAACCTCAGTGAGCAAAAGCGGCAAAACATTAAAACTGCCAACCCCAAACTTTTACACATAGCGTATCTGTCCCACTTCTTCCTTATTATCTCACTGTGACTGGATGGGTCAGATTTCTCAACACCAAGTAGATGTTGGTAAGCTGCATAAACATAAGAAGTCTTATTTTGGGTTCATAATATGTTCTGATTTCATTTTCTATAAAATTTCCCTGTAATTTAGCCTGAATTCATTTCCTTCTCTCTCTTCTGAGGAACATGCTAAATCCTTTCCAGAGGATTTTGTTCCACCTACATCCCCTCAGTTTCCCCGTCCACCCACCAGGCCGTGGGGGCTCATTTCCCTGTGTGAAGATCATGGTGTGCTGAATGACAGCAGGGATCTTTGGGTGGCAAACACATTCCTGACATACCGGAGGCGGGGGGTCGGGGCACTGCATGTCATCCTTCCAGCGCTGGGTGGGGCATTAAAACCATGTGGCATTCCAGCACTTCTGCTGCTACGGGAATGTTCCGGCTTCAGGATGAGTTAAGCTCTATCAACAGCGTCTGTGATACAATATCGATTAGCACAGAAAGAATGTTGTCTCCCTCGGGCAAAAAAAAAAAAATGCATGTACAATAAAGCACTTACAGTAGACACTTCAATGTTTAACCCTGTAAAGCTTAACATATAAAATAATAGTGAGATTTGTTTTTGTTTTTTTTCTAATAGAACAATTTATTGAACCTTTGAACAACATGTTTTCAAAGGTTTGCATGTTGAGTGTCATATTAGATGTATCTGGCTTTTATAGCTCAAATAGTGAGAAAATGGAGCTCATACTCAAGGAGGAAAAACCACATCAATTTTATTCAGCAAAAATGTACAATTTGGTGCAGATGCTGATATTTATATGGCCAAAAAGTAAGATGATGTTTTATAACAGTATAACTCCCTTTGTTTTATGATCAAAGCTCTGTAGTTACATATATATACATATACTGCAATGCCATACAATGATGACTGTGAGACCAGCGTTCCTCAAAAGCCTGAAGAATCATATTTTATACTCACATTTTAACATGATTTTTCTAAAAAAAATAAAAAAAGATTCATGGATAATCAAGTAAACATTTAGTCCAGTAAATGTTCATCTTGAAATATAACTAACAATATAAAAGTTATTCCTACATTTACATTATAAAAGTATTATAAAAGTATAAGTATATAAGTAAAAATTTCACAAGAAAAAGACAACCTGAAGGTGGATGTTTTAAAAATTATACTAAAATACCTTTTACTTGTACTAGTGTTATGTGAAAACTAAAAATGACTCATTCCTGTTACACCGTATTGCAATTTAAAGAAGTATTTTTTATAAAAGAGTAGCTCAAGCAATTTAATTACAACTTGACTATTTACACAACAGCAAGAAAAGCAACAGATTGGAAACAGAGAGCTAATGTTAGCCGTTGCTCAGTGAGGGACTGAGAGTTTAACTTTTGAAATGGTGATTTTATCAAACCAATTTTACTTTCATTTGTCCAGGATCAAGAGTTCTTGCAAACCAGCTAACAAAACATCACAGAATCTATTAAATCCATTGCTAATACTCACTAATGCTGGTGCTGGTGCTTTCCCTCCAAAATGATGTCACTTCCCATGCGATGATGTCATCACAGAACTGACTTTAGTTAAAGGGATCAGTTCACAAAAGACTAAAAGAAAGGGAAATGATATTGGAAAAACTTGGAAATGTATTAACAATTGCAACAAAAGTATCATGAAACATGTTTAGTTTAAAAAATGTTAACTACAGAAATTCAATGAGAACTTTAGAACAATATACAGACTATTTACATAACACATATAAATACCAGTTTTCTATATAGCACCCAGTAATATAATATATGTAAATGCTTAGTTTTATGATCTTTCAGAACATGTAATACAATACAATACAATTGTATTGACAGATTAACAAATACATGTTCCTTGAAAGTCTGATGTATCATTTTTGATACATTTTAACATGATTTTTTCCAAAAAGTATGCATGGATAATCAAGTAAACCTGAGTTTAAACATGTTTAGTCTGAAACATTTTAGTAAACATGAAGAAGCACCTGGAATATTTCTTAATGAATTGCCAGTTTTTCACGTAAGACGTTGCAAACATGATAAAAATGAAATCCTTAACCAAAGCAATGAGATTATTTAAAATCCAATCCTATGTTCGCTTCATTTAATACCATCACTTGTTTTTATATTTCATCAGATATTAAGACATATGATGAGGATATGGAAGTTTACTGTTCAAAGCATCAATAAAATCCCTAATAAAGCCCTATAGTAGTCCATGCATCCAGAGGTGTAAAGCTGCGGATCCAGAAATCTGCTGGAGTGTGTGTAGTGGTGTGGTTGAATGGGGCAGATGAAGCTCCAGCCCTCTGACACAGATTGGGTGGCGTAGCTGCTGGGTGGAGTCACGCAGACAGATACTCACACTTGTAGCTGTGAAACTCTTAGTTTGCTCTCCCCGCAGAGCCGTGTGGATTTACTACCAGAAAGCAGCCTTTATTTGTGTCTGCTGAGCACAGCAAATTAAAAAACACGTCAGGAATCTAAACGCTCGCTCACCGTCTCTACTGTGTGGGTTTGAATTTAAGGACCCTCTGGGTTTTTTTCTGCCTTTATTTTCATTTTTAACTCTTTGAAGAAGACACAAAGGAGGATGGGTGCTCAGTTGTCTAAAGGTGAAGCTACAGTGGATGGAAAAGCCGTGGCTGAGAAAACCAATGGTCAGGTGAGGATCTTCAAGCACTTTTATGATTAAACTAACAGCTTTCTGCTATATCTAAATGGGATCTCAATACATTGTTTTTTGCCTTTCAGTAGTAGCCTAATACCATTTATCCAACAATACACATTTTACAATTTAATCTTTGAATTTGTGTTACATTCTTTGATTATCAAATTGGTTATGTCTACAATATCATTTCAGTTCTGTAGGAGGCTTTTGTGTTGAACCTTTTTATTTTTATTTTGAGGGTTATTGGATCAAAATGAGTGGCAGCTATATGCTGTGAAAATATGGCCAGCACATTGTGCTATAAACTATACTATAAAAGCAAGCATTTACTATTTACTATGACTATAAAAACAAACATTTACCCCTTTGCTTTTCTCCAGTGTGTGTGCCAACATGCATTTGGCTTATCTTCCCTCATTCTGCTTTTCTTTTCAGGAAAATGGCCATGTGAAAACCAATGGTGACGTATCTACCAAGCCAGATGGAGAAGCCGTGGCAGCAGACGGAAATGGAACCGCGGAAGTTGCCAAGGAGGAGGCCGCCAAGACGGAGGCGGGAGATGGCATCGAAGCTGCCCCTGCTACCGAAGGCGACGCCGCCAAATCCGACGGCGAAGCTGCAAAGGAAACCAAGAAGAAGAAGAAATTCTCACTGAAGAACTCCTTCAAATTCAAGGGCATTTCCCTGAAGAAGAACAAGAAGGAGAGCCAGGAGGCAGCGGAGCCCGCAGCCACGCCCACCGCCGAAGACAAACCCGAGGAGAACGGCCAGGCTGCTACAGAGACCAAAGAGGAGGAGCCTGCTGCGGCAGAAACCAATGAGACACCGGCACCCGAAGCAGAGGCGGAGCCCAAAGCAGAGGCGGAGCCTAAAGCAGAAGAGCCCGCCCAGGAAACAGAAGCCACACCCACAGAGGAGACCACAAAATCTGACGAGACCCCGGCCCCTGCTGAAGAGACCACGCCCACCACAGCCTCGGACCCGGAGCCGGCTGCAGAGTGACCTCACTTCACTGTGGCAACCTAGACTGTTTATCTATCCTTTTTTTCTTTTTGAGATTGAAATATATAAATATATATATATATATATATAAATATATGAGACTTAGGCCACAATCTTAAAGTTACAGCAATACTACAGAGAAACCGAGTTCTTTAACCATCTTTGCTGATAACGGTCAAGAGCGTTTTTTTTGGGAATCGGGCCGGGAATTGCTCTGTGTATGGATTGGAACGACTGATGGAATTTCCGCCTCAGAGGAAGAGCTGCGGATGGAAGAGCGTGGCTCCCTGTTCACAGTCTTTTCAGTCATTTTTCTCTTTTAAACTTCATCCGATCCTTGATTTTTCAGGGCTGATGAGTGAAATGACAAATTGTCCTCTTAGGAGATGGTTACGGGGAGATGTAAAACTACAAAAAAAAAACTTTTTTTAAATGTTTGAATAGCTCTACATTCCCATTTTTTAGCCCTGAAAACTGTAGGTTGTCAGCAGATCTGGGCAAGTGAATAGGTTTTAGTCTTAGCCTGTTTTTAATGATGTTTTACAGTTTAAATCAGATCCAGCTACACATTTCAAAGTTTAAGACAAAGGGGAATTAAACCACTGCTTTTATCAAATATATATATATTTTTTTGTTCTGTTAAGTCTCTGTACATACATTTTCTGACTCTTTATTTTGCTAACATTTCCAGGTGTTAATAAGATGTTGTACGATTAGGCCAAATAAATGTTTGACCCCCACTTGTGTTTGTTTGTTTTTTTTTATTAAATATTTTTCACAAAAAAGGTTATTTAAACAATATCAAACACCTACATCTTCACAAAGAATATGTTATATTAATTGAGCATTGTAAGAATTATGATGCACATTTAGCTGACAAGATCTTTCAAATTCAGATAAAAAGAATGAACTCTATAGTCTGATTACGAATCCTAATTCACAAAAATACGCTAAATGATAGAGAGAAGAAGTAAGTTTCAAAATATTTGCAGGACAATTCATTCTGTCATTGTTTACTCACCCTCATATCACATGTATTTATTTCTTCGGTGGAACACACAAAAGTCAATGAAGTCCAACATCTTTCAAAATATCACCTCTTATGTTTCAAGTCTGGAACAGCATGAGGGTGGGTAAATGTTAGAAGTTTCATTTTTGAGTGAATGACCCATTATTTGCTAAAAACTGAGCACATATTTTACAAGCTTTCGACAAAGGTTTTTTTTGTTTGTTTGTTTTTCAGTATGTTTCTCTCCATGGCTTGTTCCAACAGGATTTCTTTTCTTTAGCTACTCAGCAATTAGCTACTCAGCTAAGTCAAATTAACACTCCAGAAAGACTCAATTGAGATTGAACAAACAGCAGGTACAGATGCTGAAAGTTCTTCAGTTTTCTACAATTTTCTCTCTGAGTGTTAAAATGAATGAGCATTATTATAAAATTGAGATCTGGTTGCTAAAGCGCCTCCACTAATGGCTGACATGATGAATGACCGTGTGCTGACCTGGTCCTCCTGCTGGGTCAGGATAGTTACTGCATTCTTAAGCATTTGGTTTCTTTTGAATGCTGCGACTGAACGTGATTTAGTAAAGACGTTTACTAATACAGCATTGAGTGACTTACTGCTTTAACAAAACAGCAATAGCAATATGATAAAGTACACTAATGTTAAATGTATTTTATTAATAAAAATGAATAACAATAAACAGTTCTTCCATCAAGTAATAGTTCATCAGCCTGACTACATGCTAAACTTAGCTAAGCCCCAAAAAACTGTTTATCTCAAATATGATTGTTATCGAACTCAAATCGAACTCAAAAAAGAAAGAAAAATAATGCAAAACACATTTAATGGTCAGTAAGAAATATGCCTGGTAACAAAGTATAATTTAACCCATGGTTCCTGAGTTTAAAGTATACATTCATTTTATTATTGCACCACCTTTGGCTGACTATCACAACACTCAGACACAACACAAATATAATACATTTTATTATAATCAGCAATTCACTGTTAAAATCACTACTGAAATATTAGCATTTCATTTGTTGTTGATTTGTACAGATGATCTTTGATCATTTAAACATCTGTACATGTTTATGGCAAAGAAATAGAATAATGACCTTTAATTTCCATTATCAAACAGTTGCAGAATTGTGATGATTTTTTTGTTATAGCTCCACCTAGTGCTGGAATTAGATAATATTTTGTGTGGCTCTCCTTATTCTTAGTAAAATATGGACTAAGTGAATGTCTGACTGAAAAATAAAACAAACATACATGGACCATGATTTTAAAAACATCACCCGAGTAATATTTTTACAATGCCATATGAATAATTTG